GGAAAAAAAAAAAAAAAAAGACTATCAAACTAGATTAAAAGGCAAGACCCAACTATATGTTGTCTATAAAAATCCCACTTTAAACATAAAGACAAAGATAAATTAAAAGTAAAAGAATGAAGGAAGATATACCATGCTAACAATAATCAAAAGAAAGCTGGAGTAGCTATATTAGTTTCAGACAAAGCAGACTTCAAAGAAAATCATCAAGGGCACATTACATAATAATAGAGCGGTCAATTATCCAAGAAGACATAACAATCCTTAATGTGTATACACCTAACAACAAAGCATCAAAATACTTCAATCAAAAACTGATAGAACTACAGGGAGAAGTAGATGGATTCACTAATACAAGTGGAGATTTCAACATACCTCTAACAGAAATTGACAGATTCAGCAGGATGTCAGTAAGGACAAAGTTGAACCAAACAGTACCATGGATCAATTGAATGTAACTGACATGCAACGATAGTAGGATATATATTACATAAGCTTACACAGATAATTTACCAAGAGGCCACTTTCTAGGGAATAAAATATACAATAAACTTTAAAAACTAGAAATAATATCAAGCGTGCTGTCAAAGTTGCAAAAACACAAGGGTTGGGAGCAGTGGCTCATGCCTGTATAAAGCAAAGTGCTATATGGCTCAGCACTTTGAGAAGCCAAGGCAGGTGAATCACTTGAGGTCAGGAGTTCCAGACCAGCCTGGCCAGCATGGTGAAAACCCATCTCTAATAGGCTTATTAGAATAAAAAATTTACAAAAATTAGCCAGGCATGGTGGCATACACCTGTAGTCTCAGCTACTTGGGAGGCTGAGGCACTAGAATTGCTTGAACCCAGGAGGCAGAGTTTGTAGTGAGCCGAGATCGCGCTACTGCACTCCAGCCTGGGTGACAAAGCAAGACTCCATCTCAAAAAAAAAACACCCACAAGGGTCATAGAAGTCTCAAAAGACAATGAAAATATTTTGAACTAAGTGAAAAATGAAGATATAACTTATCAAAACTATGACATGTAGGAAAAATGTGGTTTAGAGGGAAACTTATAGCATTAAATACAAATATAAAAGTACAAATATTATAAAAGAAGACCTAAAACTAATCATCTAAGCTTCCACCATAGAAACCTAAAAAGAGCAAATTAAATCCAAAGTAAGAAGCAAAGAAATAAAAATTAGAAGAGAAATCAATAAAATTAAAAACATGAAATCAATAGAGAAAAATCAACAAAACCAAAAATTAGATTTTTTAAAAGAACAGTAAAATTTATAAGCCTCTAGTCAGGTTAACTAAGAAAAAAAAGAGAAGACACAAATTGCTAACATCAGAAGTGAAAGAGGGGCCATCACTGCTCATTTCAAGGACATTAAAAGGATAAGGAAATATTAGGAACAATTCTTTGCCCACAAACTTGACAATTTAGATAAATTGACCAATTCCTTGAAAGACATATTCTGCCAACATTCACATAAAAGCAAGCAGACAATCTTAATTGGCCTTTATTAAAGTAATTGAATCAATAACTAATAACCTTCCAAAATAGAAAACACCAGGCTAAAATTGGCTCACTGGTGAATTCTATAAAATAATTTATGAAGAAATTAAACCAATTCTGTGTCATGCCCTCCAGAATACCAAAACACAGTAAATTCTCATATATTATGAGGTTATCATTCCAAAAATACCAAAACCAGTATAAAATGTACCTCATAAACACAGAGACAAAAATCCTCAATAAATATTAGCAAATCAAAGCCAGCAAAGTATAAGAATGATTTATACACCATGACCACGTAGGATTTATTCCAGGTATGAAAAACTGGCTCAACATTCGAATACTGATTAATCTAATATCAACAAACTAAATAAGAAAAAGAACATTTATTGCAGTGTTATTTATGGAGGAAAAATCCTAGACAATTTGATGTTCACTAAGAGGGAAAATATTTGAATAAATTGTGGTAAAGCTATACATAGGAGTATAATGCAGCCATTAAAAATCATGTTTCATTCTATATTCACCTAAGAAAATTCCGATAGTTATAAAATAAATCAAACTGCAGGGTAATGTATAAAATATAATACCATTTTTGTAAAGAGAAGATAAAAATATGACTGTGTGCAGGTTTGTCTGATGCACTGCATAATTATAAGCACAGAGAAAATCCAGAAGTGTAAATATTAAAATATTACCATTGGTTAAGTGAGAAAATAGGAACTAGAGAAAGAAGAAAAAATAGCTAGCTTCTTTGCACACCATTGTTTGGTTTGACTTCAATCATATGTGACTAAAGTCTGTAAGTGAAAATACAAGGGACCAGATAATGGGGCAGGGGAAGGAATCCCATCAAGAGCTAACTCTCCTATTCTTATTTTGAAATTACAGACATCAAGGTCTATTCTGCCTACACAGTCGATAATCCTGGTTACTCCAACTTTTTTAGATCATTTAATATATTATTAGTGGCTGCTTAGAAAACCAAACTACACCTGGAATAATTATCTAGTTTTAAAATAGCACATACCCTTCTTCAGAAGAGTTCATATTATCTCCATAAAGAAGTAAAATAAGTCCTTCTTCTACAGATGCAATTCTTGCCAAAATATCAGCTATATGAATTAAAGCTGTCTCAGAGCAATTTGGAGATGCCTGTACATTAAAAAGAAAACAAGACAAATCATATAATTTTATGACATGCTAACACATCACAGACTAACATTCGAAGATGGTATATAGGCTCATAAAGTTATACTACCACAACAAAAAAAAAATCAAGCTTAACGATTTGTTTGGCTGTGAAATAAAATAATATGTCTGAATAAAATGTGTTATTTGATTATATTCTTTTAGCAGCCCAACGGATTAAGCAAATAAATACAGATTTTTTTCACCCAAACCAGTTACTGAGAATTGCAGTTCCTGTTACGGTGTTACATATAATTCTGGCTGACAAATGTAGTAGCTCTACTATTTCCACTTTGCCCTTTATTTCTCACCCACTGGGTTCCTGAGTATCCAATATAATTACACTACATATGGTATCGAACACATTGCCATCCTTTCTAAGGGTGTCATCCTTTTATTCACCTGTTTGGGTCATGAGTATATATCCAACTAAGGATAGCCAATTCATGGGCTGGCCAATAGCCAATAATGTCACCTAATAAAAAAACAGAAGACTGAACCAACTATATTTGCTCACTTTTGATTTCAAATGCAAGTACTAAAATACCTTTGCCAATATATACCAAAGCAGCACACAGCACATACTGAAAACCAGACAGCCATGTTAATGCCAGAGCGTATCTACAGTATTATAATTCCTATTCTTTGTGGGGTCTGCTTATTTACCTGCACCTGAATGGATGCCAACAGACATATTATCTATAATACCTTTGAAAATGTAAATGTTGCAATCAATACATTCTAGTAACTTTAGGGGGTTAGCCTAACTAATGATTAGTCAGGTATATTCACCTAAAGAAGAAGTCCTAATTATTACTAATCATACTGTTTAGTATGAATAGCACCATTAATACTACTTAGCATAAAAAGTATATCATTTTTCATATTAAATATACTTAAAACAACTTCTCTTCTTAGAATAAATTCTTTCTCTCATATATATGAGAGTATCTATATTCTCTCATGTCTATATACATACAAACACAGTGTTTTAAAACTGTCTATTCCTCATTTTAAATATTTTTTGTTTAAAGGTCTGCCTTGCCTATTAGAGTAGGCTTCTTAAAGGCAATAAACACGTATTATTCACTTCTATATTTGCTGTACCCAGCAGAAAGCTAATGGTATAGTAGAGGCTCAATGGGTGACGCTGGATGTCTTAAATTAGATACTGAATGTTCACTTAATGGGCCAGAGGGCTACTGTCAAGAATAAATAAGTCAAGTATAGCATAAGTAAAACTACAGGAGTACATAACATGGGAACACAGAGAAAAAACCCCACCTAACTTTGCAAAGGAGAATTAGGAGGAAATTTCAAAGATAAACTCTACTCTAAGGAGAGGAATTTTTCAGGTGGACCAGGTTTAAAATGTTCTAGGGTGAAAGAACGGCATACAAACACAGGGAAATACAATAACCTTATCTAGAAAGTGCAAATTGTCAATTGTAATTGGAATACGTGAGAAAGAAAGTAGTTAGGGGACAGAAAACTTGGCATTTGCCAAGTTTATCTAGGAAGCAACAAGCAGAAAAGTATGTGACAGCCCATTGATGGGTGAACAGAAGAGGAAGATGAAAACAGTAAAAACACCTTAAAACAGATATGAAAAGGTAAAAACTTTTAACCTATTCATAAGCTTTAAAAGTCACTGACCAGAAACTTAAGTCATACAAGTAGAGGGATGTGCTGAACAGACAGCCAAACTAGTGACAGCAGCAACTCTGCCACTTGTTAAATGTCTGACCTAGAGCAAGTCACTTATTTCAGCCTCAGTAGGGATTATTAAATTACACAATGTAAGGGAATATACTGTGCAAACTGTACAGAGACATACATATAAGTTCAAAGTGGAATTCTATATAATTGTTTTCTCTAAAATAATACTAGTTCTTCTTAATATGAAACAGAGTTGGTTACTCAGGAAAATAATCATATTTCCAAAAGCTATAAAAATCCCAAAACATTAACAAGATTGATTAGATCTGTAAGACAAATAGCTTCTTAATAGTATAACTTTTCTAAGTTATTTGTATCAGCAGATCTAGTCCTGATTCGGGGAAAAAAAAAAAAAACTTAAGATATTCTATGTACTTTCTCTGTGCATATTATAATAAATCAATCAACTGTATAAGCTATGATTTAATCATAAATAAAAATATATATCAACAGAAAATACATTCATATATGGAAGGAAAGAAACCCTTTTTCTCTTCCGTGAATAATACCAACCTCAGTTCCTTTCATTAAATTGTGAACAGGCTGAAGAAGTGTTTCTATTACAATGTTGTTATATAAGCATTTGACCGCACATTCTTTTTGATCACAGAGCATCCATAGAATTTCAGTCACCATACTTGCAGGAGAGTAATTCTCTAATAAACAATGAATATTTTTAAAAACCAAAACATTAAATACTTAGAACTATTTTATGTGTTAGCTGTTGTTGTTCCAAAAAGTTCAACATCAAAGTTAACTCAATACTTCAAAAGTCATACAACTCAATATCCAAAGGATGATGTATTCCCAAATTATAACCTGACTTGGGGGAATCTCAATTAGTGTAACATAAAAAGCAAGCAAATGACAACAAACATGAATGCCAAAAGACAGGAATAAAGTAGCATTTACTGTCTGACATTAAATTACTGCTTAATATTGAAAATGTAGTCTGAAGCAAATGCACAGCTTTTTTCCTCCTGGAAAACACATTTTTCCTCCTAGAACACACTTTACTGTACTTATATTTGTTCTTTTTCTTAAATAACACATTAAGTATTGAGCCTACTAAAAAATTACATTCAGACAAAAAAATGGGCAAAAAAGAATGCAAAACAGAATGGAAACTTTCATAAACTTTTATGGACACTAGTATACTTCTTGTATTACCATAAAACCAGTGAAAACAAAGATCTTTTTTTAGATTTTCTTTCAAAATACAGAATATACAGGAAAACACAATACAAGTAAGTGTAACATGGTTAGAATCGTCACTGAATTAAATGATTTTCAGTTTCATAAATTGACATATTTTCAGATATGTATAATCTAATATTCTTACAACAATAGTTTTTAATGTAAGATTGTCCTAGTAAGATACAATACTTCAGTATCTAGACACCGTATGTCTACGCATTATTGATGTGTTTCATTATTAAGTGTTTTTTTCTTTGGAAACTACTCTAATATGAAAGTTCTTAATTTATGTTACAATATTCCATATTCAATAAACATGTTGACTTCAGGTCAATATCTGACAATAAGAAAATGGAAAAGGAAAGTTCAGTGATTTTTCAACCAGTTCCACGTGAAAAACCCTGTTTGCAAGGACAGATACTATTGTTGAGCATATAGTCATTTTTTTATGCATCAAATCATCTCCTACTTATTAAGTTCCTAATACTAGACACTGTACTAGGAACTAACTATAAACAGAAAAGTAAGTAAGACAAAAACAGTCCACATCATGGTAAACCAAGATATTAACAAGTAATTAGAACAATGAAAGATGACAAATCATAAAGGATGCCTAATATGTTGTAGGAATATATAGTCAGAAGACCTAAGCTAGTTCTTTATACATGTAAATGCTGTAAAGACAGAAAAAAGTTCTGAGAACCACTGTGAAGATAAATAGGCTAATATAATTAGTTAGATAAAACCTATTAATTTCATTTTTTAAAATAGATTCAGAAGGTACATGTGTCAGCTTGTCACATGGATATATTGCATAATGTTGTGATTTAGGCTTCTGGTGTACCCATCACCCAGTGAACACTGTACTGAATAATAACCTACCAGTTGATAGTTACGTTATAGAACTAAAATATAGCTAGCCCAAACCATTTTTTTCCTTGAATCACTTGAATTTGCATCAGAATTTGTGTCAGAAAATCTAGGGTTATTTCTTAGTTTTAAAATACTATATGTCTATGCATTATTGTTGTATTTTATTAAGTGTTTTACTTTGGAAACTATTCTTGATATTCAAAGGAAAAGAAGTTATCTTTTAAATGTTAATATTTTTTAGAACATTTTTAAAAGCTAGTCAACAGCCATAAAACTAAAAGGGG